CGCTTCCTTTACACATTTAAAAAACTGACGCTGGGTGATGCCATGGCTGGAGATTGGGAAGTTTAAAAAAAATCACCCTGGAGAAAGGCAGCGGCTATCTGCTTCTTGCTGCCCCCAAGAGGACACGATAAGGGGGTCCATGAAGCTCCCCCCTCAAGGAATCAAGCTGGGGGCCTCGTGACCAAGAGGGAGGGGAGTTGAGAGCGGAGCATTCAGCAGCATCCTCTCCCACAGGAATGCCTTGCAGGATTTTTTTCCAGGTTTTTTTTCCTCCACAGCCCCCAGCCAGATCCAGTTCCTTCTGAAACCCAATCTTGCTACACCAAATTTGTTCCTGTTCTATTTTCGTCTTCCTTGCTTATAGGCAGACAAACGGCCCCTTTACGCAATCCCTTTCCAGTACTGGAAAGAAAAAAACAGATTATAGATTAAATGAACAGTCAGTGCAATGCTATTATTCTGCCGTAACACACAGATCCACCAACCTCGTCGGCTCCTTAACTGACACAATTTAGCAGCAGAGGTGCATCTGGAGAGGATGCAAATAACACTGTGTGTGCTTAAAACGTCACAAGAAACCGCCGAAATTCACAGCCACCCGCCCTTGACCTGAGGGTGACAAAAGATGCGTTACCTCTTTCTTTCGCTGTGCTGTGCAAGAATACATGTGCCTCTACGCGCGCACTTTCTGATTGCACCTCGGGTTTCAAAGTATCAAGCCAGGTGGAACAGCCTCTCAACAGCAGCTACACTGGGGCAGTCCCTGACTTGCAAGTTAGCAAATTAAAACCATCAAGAGCTGATCTGAGTGAGTTATAGTTCCTTGGCTGAAATCTTTAATTCTTCAGGATAAAGGAAGCTAGATGCCAGAATGATGTGCAGCCAAAATAAAAAAAAAGAAAAGGAGGCTGGACATTTTAAATCCCTCCGCAGCTGGGCATTTGAGGTCAAAAACTTTGTCCCGGGCCAAAGGGGTTGATTTAAAAGCCTTCCCCGGTGCTCAGAGGGACTTGGAGAATCGGATACCCGCCAAGTTTATATAAAACATTTTAATTTGAAAAACATGAAGAAAATACACTTATAACAGAAGCGTGGATCAGAACTTCACCGAGGGTAAGGAATGCCACATCGGCTCGCCGGGGAAGGCCCGCTGCGTCCTGAAGAGTTCACGGGCAACGGTGCTCTCTCCTCTGCAAATGCTTCTTAATTTTCAACTTCCCAGCACCGGAAATGTCGTAGCTGTACTCTGAGGTGACGTATGGGATCTCCCCACCAGTCCCGGTCTAAAAACAAAGAAAGGTGGGAAGAGAATTAGAAGAGATGAGAAGAGATTTGCTTTTTGCGGCCTGTTGACGTTTGGGATGGACATACGAGCCTCCTTCCTCTTTGCAGCCTCAAGCGGTCCAGCATCTACTTACTTGGTTCAGGAAGATGCAGTTTGGAATAGCGATGTCTCCAATCAGCAAACAGTTCACCCGTCCTAAGTTTTCTGGGGCTACCGGGGTCAGGATGTAATAAAGCTTCCTGGCCATATCCACCCCTCGGACAATTCCTGTTAAAAATAAAACCTCAGCTTTCAATCTTCTGTTATTGAGCAGGAGAACGCAGTTAGATGCAAAGCTTAGGTCTAAAGAAAAACAGGATTTAAAGCAGGGATTGGCGACCGTAACTTTCTGCAGAAGGATGCTGTCTGGGAAGTGGACAAGGCAGCATCGTGGCGAGAGCATGGATTTTGCGGTTTTATGTTTATTTCCGTTTTCATTTATCTGGACACTTCCCATTTCTGAAAGCTCTGGGTGGCCAGCAGTCAGAAGCACCACTCAGCCACCCCCACCCAAAATAAATAAATCCACCCTAAAATAAACCAATTACAGTACAGTATCAAAATTATGTCCAGAAAGAAAATGATGGTCAGAAAAGGGATTCGAGGTACCAAGCAGCTCGCTTCCTTTACACATTTAAAAAACTGACGCTCATGTTGTTTTTCCCTCCACCTTTTCCTTTTTCGTGGCGTTTACAATTTCCTTTTTATTTTCATTGTTACTTTCTCAGTGGCATTCGTTTCAATTCTACTCTTCAACCATCATACAGATCTTGAAAACGCTTCTTCTGGCATTCCTCGGACTGCGTTCTTTGCAATTACCTCTTTACCGACTATGCAGCCTCTCATGTGGATTATGGGAGCTCTTGAGTTCAGCCAAATAAATGCATAAATGAACGCAAATCAGCTTGCTTACCAAAGCCCAGGCAATCACAGATGGGCGTCTGCGTCAACACCACTGGTCCCTCTGCTTTACACGAGATCTCATCTGGCAGGTGACAGAGGCCAACCCAGCTGGCATTGAGAGAACACAACATGTGAGTTGGAGCCACCTCGACATGGATCACCTTGAGGGCCACAGCGTTGAAGGGCACCTAAGGAAACCGAGAGCACAGCGGGCGGTCAGTTAGGCTTTTTGGGGGGCTAAGTACATTATCAAACCAATGTTTGGCACTGAGGCCAAAACAGTACCTCCATTTATGGTAGGAACAAGCGGGGGTGAGGGAGGTCTTCAACTTCATGCATTCAGAAAGTCACTCGGGTGGCAGAACTGAAGAAAACCTTGTGCATCTTTAGAGAGCTGCAATTATTATACAGCGCTAGCTAGATAAAGAATTCCAGGAGCCGCCTGGAATTCTTTGCTCAGGTAAAGAAGAGAAAGTCTCGATTCACTCTGCACGGCAAGACCTGCGATTCACCCCAGGCAGGGCATTACCTGATAGGGGACTAGGCTGGGCAGAGGGAGCACTGATTCCACGGTGGGAGGCTGCAGCTGCCCCAGGTATCCCACGATGGTGACGCTCCGCAGGGTACTGCTATGTGCTCGCCTGGAAGGACCAGAGCAAAGGTGCATCAAAGACAGGAAGGGGGTGGAAACCCCTTTTTGGATGTTTTGTGTGAAACAGAAAAAAAATGAAATCATGATGTGAGGATGTGATGACTAGAAATGATAGTAGACAATAAAAAAAATGAAAGTTATGCTGTAAACTTAAGAGTAAGTGCTTAAAGCTATGTATATCTGTTGTAAAAGGAAGTCGGGAGTCATTTTCCTTTTTTTTCCTGTACTTTTGACCTTGTTTTCTTTTCCATTCTTGACCTTTTTCTCTTTTCTATCTTCATTATTCGTTCTGGTTAGTTTTTATCTCTTTATTTTAAAAATCTAATAAAGTTATTTCAGAAAAAAAAAAAGATGGGAAGGGGGTGGTAGGCGTTAGTTTGTCCAAGCTCTGTATCATGCTGACTGTGACCGCTAAAACAGACCCATAAAGTAGTCATTAATCCCAAGGGGTAGCGAGACAATTATTGGGGTTCCTGTAGAAGGCAGAATGGCCCCAAACATTGGCATATTGACCCTTTAAACTATTCACCACATGCTTACAAATGCGTTGGCAGGTACCTCCAGCTCTACTTGGAGCTACCTCGGAGACTATCCAGAAAAGGCAGCTACGATCGTAGCCTGTTCCCACAAGCATGTACCAGCTCCCTGCTGCCTTTTGGACGGTCTTTCCCAACTGGAATCTGCCCGTCCTGGGAAACTGTTCCAGGAAGAGATGCCCAAGTCCCCACCTCGGAAAAGGAAAAGATTCCAACATTCTGGGATAGCTTGGAGTTTGGTCCCCATCGGTTGAGAGTAGTGACTTTGATGGACATAGGCAAAGATGGTTAGCTAGGCGAAGGGTGCTGAAACATTTTTTAAGCCCCGAAAACAAAATAATATGGAGAAGACACGTGTCCCTAATTCACTGGGGAATAAGAAGGGAGGGGGGAGGTATAGCCCAATCAGACTTGCAAGATTGATGTCAGCCCCACCAGGTAGGCCAGACCAAAAAAAATCAACTCCACAGGAAGACCAGAACTCTCTTTATTGGCTATAGTAACTGAATCCAGCAAATCTGACTGCACATTTCCATCAAGGTCACCTTCCTTACTATCTACACTGCATGGTTGATTTTTCATGATGCCACAGTTTGGGGCTGATTCTCAAGTTTGTTGGATTGTGATTTATAGGTTTCAGGTTAGTGACATGATATGGTTTATATGTACGTATGGCTGTGAGAGCTGGACCATAAAGAAGGCTGAGCACTGAAGAACTGATGCCTTTGAACTGTGATGCTGGAG